ACACACACACACACACACACACACAACACACACACACACACACACACACACACACACACAATATCTCCCATATACACAGGCACACTCATGTGCATTCGCACACTCATTTACACTTTGTGTGTGTGTGTGGGGGGGGTTGTTGTTGTGTTGTGTTGATAAAAAGATTAAATTACCCGTCTGTGGCCAGTTCTTCATTTTTAGACTGCAACAGTATGCAACTCGTTTGCTTTTGTTGACCGCCAGGTACTGTATGATGGAGAAGTGCTGGAAGTACAACCCCAAGCAGCGACCCACCTTCAAGAACCTGATAGAGCTGCTGGTGCCCTATCTGAGCAACCAATTCCGAGAGGTGTCCTACTTCTTCCAGGAGGTCATCCGCAGTGACGCTGAGGACGAGGAGGACATGGAGGAAGAGGAGGAGGAGGATGATGACGACGACGACGACAACTGCCGGCCAGAAGGAGAGGAGTTTGAGGATGAGGATTATGAGGACGAGGAGGATGACATCCCAGAGGCTGAGAGGGACTTCCGGCTGAGGGATGAGAAGATGTTGCGCGTTGCTGGTCCGGATGAAGATGGGGTATCGGGAGACAGGAGTCCCAGGTGAGGCTGGCGTGTACTTGCTATTGATTGTTTGTCATTCTCACGGATCAACTGATGTGTCTTACTATTATATTTCTTTTGAAAGCTCTTTCTTTCCTATCAAACATCTATCGTCCTGATCTCTTCTCCTTCTTTTTAGGGTTTGTTACTCTCTTATAGCACCTCTAATCTTCGGCACTTATATGACATTATTGTGTTGCAAGTGCAGTAAAACACTTACTAATGCCGCCGAATCCTAGACAGAGAGCTCCAAAACTTTACGAGAGCCTGGAGGACCTGCGGTGAACAGCAGCCTTCGTACCTGGATGTCTGGGGGAGGTCCAACTTTACTTTTATCTTTAAAAATCATACCATATGGTCAGGACTTTTTGTTTTAAATCCAAGTTCAGTAACATGTGTCAAAACGTTGAACCGGGATCTCTTCAATTTTTGGGCATATGGAGTTGTTGGTGTCATCTTAACGGGAGGAGCTACCCTTGAGGACCATTTTCTATGTTTCTTGCCCAAGATCAAATCTAAGTACACATATAAGTTAGGCATAGTAAAATCTCTTGATACGCCATTTTATTTTGGCATAGCAACAGCGGTTGCTATGGAAACGGCCGCCATCTTGAAAATAAACAATGAATTTCAAATCCCTAAGGCTTTCTTATTTACCGACCAAATTTGACCAAATGTGGTGAGAGTATACCTGAACCAGACCCTATCAGAGTAACAGCAAGCTTATTTCAATAAGTGCAAAAGAAAAAAAATACATGAGAATTTTCCCAAAGTATAAAAAACTTTTAAAAAATGTAGATTGCGTAATCGCTTGCCAATGGAAAAGTGTTATTGTTTTCGCAAATATCTCTCTGTTACATTAATGGCAGCCATGCCATCTATGTCTCCTGAAAGTTTCATCTCAAAATGATGAAAACTAAGGAAGGAGTAGGGAAAAAACTGCAAAAAAAATTCATTTTGCGAAAACTGACTATTATTGTGAAAATTCACTATATTAACCCGTCGTCATGTTTTCAAAGGCAATTTACGTGGAGAATAAACACTTTCTCAAATGTATCCATGCTATTTTTGGACAAAAAACTGGTTGATCTTCAAAAATCAGCCAACAGAAAATTTGCACAGGCTGACCCAAAATCTGCCAAATCAAGGGTCGCTCCTCCCCTTAAAGCTTGCTCATTTGCCTTGCTTTTGATGAAAACAATACCCATCTGTCTTGATTAGAAGTTGAGATATTTGTGATTGAAGGAGGTGTGGTCGCCTTATTTCAGAGGTAAGATCAGCAAAAGAAATGGCCGCCAAGGTTTGGTGACTTCCATAGCTCAAGAGTCCTTGGAGACTGAAAATTTACATTTTCTGTGTCTTCAACGCTTACAATACCGAAGGCTCATATAGTGAAAAAAATTGTCAAATACCGCACCAGTTTAGAACACTGAAGCCATGGTAGAGTATTAAAAACGAAAAGAAACCTTCACAGCCCTTAAGACACATTTAAAAACTGACAGAGGTTCATCAACCATTCAGCTATCATATAGAGTGACTTTCTTTGGTATTACTTCAGTGCAGTTCATTATTTAATTATATTTTATGTGCCTGGTCGAGCTGTAATGAGCGCATACTATGGCCTGGCAGCTAAAGTCGCTGGAGGCACTGTAAGTGTTAATCAATGTTTTTTTTAAATAGTAAAATCCACATGTAAATGTGTCTGTAAATGGACTTAAAAGATGTTGAACCAGAAATAAAAAATTCGATAAAAATTGCGAAATGGGCAGAAAAAGCTGATTTCTTCGATTTCATTATTTTGACGAGCAACTGATTTCAAAACGATGTCTCATATATATTAACATCATTGATTTACTCTCAGGTATAGCTCGCACAGCAGTGAGGAGGATGAGGAGGCTGAGAGCGATGCACCGGAGCCCTACTTCCTCAGCTCAGTCTCTGACCCACAAGTCACCGGTGCTGGTGGTGGACCGGCTCGGGCCCTCAGGTCCAGAGATGGAAGTCGCGGTCGTAGTCAGTCTGGAGAACGGTCACCTCTACTGCTGCACCAGGGAGATGTGCAGGAACCGTTGCTGTACCCGCCTCCTCCCTCCATGCCCAGCAGTAGCGGGGGAGGTGTTGCTCCGCAGGCCATGGAGGATTTTGACAATATCGACGTGGATGACGAGGATTCAGACAACAACAGTAACTATCTCGGCCCATCCAGGGATGCGAAGTTTGTGTCGGAACGTTTGAAACTTTTGCCGGGCTCTCCTGCTGGGCCGTCATCGCGCACCAAGCCTAACAGGCAGGCTGGTCTCGTATCAGGAAATGCTGGCGGTCCCCCTCCGAGCAGCTCACTGAGCCCACAGTTGTCGCCGGACTACACGATAATGTCTCCCAAGTCGACGCTGTCCTCCTCCCCTCTGGTGCCCCCGAGTCACGAGAAACTTTCCCCCGCGTCTGCCGCCTCGCTGGTGACTCCTCCCCCTGCCCCGTTGTCCACATTCTCTGTGCCAAACCCCACCCCCTCCTCGGGGTCACGCCAGCCGCCATTCTCACCGGCCCCACCCCTTGCTGGCACAGGCCCCGCCTCTGTGTCAAAACCTGTGCTGCAGGTGGACATGGAGGGCGTGGCTCAGCCCCGGGGACTCACCTCCAAACTCTCTGCGTTTGACCGCCCACAAGACTCTGGTGACCTGTACCAAAACAAGCGTCTTACAGAGAAGTCTTTAGGCGGGCCGGCGGCTGCTCCCATGGGGGCTGGCGGAGACGCCTCCACTTCGGCCTCCTCCGGTGGCAAAAAGCCCAGCAGTAGCAGCAGCAGTAATAGTGAATCCAACAGCATCAGCAACAGCGGCAGTGAGGGTGGCAGTAAAGAGAGCAGCTCCAGCTCAGGCAGCGGTCACCACCGCTTCAACGGCCCCACGGCCAACGGCCACGGCCCCTTCTCCCACCAGCAGGCCGCCCTGTGTTAGCTGAGGGCCCCCTCCATGCTGGGAAAACAAACAATTACAGAGTTGAGTTGACAGTTTATGTTACATGTGCTCTGTGAAGGACGGACTAAACAAGGTTACTTTACAGCTCGACCAGAACGCACTGACAGAAATTACTGCCGGATGCCTCAACTAGAAAAAAAAAAATATAGAAGTGAAATTGTTTATTTTGACTTCTGCCTGACCTGTAAAGGTAATTGGTGTAGAAATGGCTAAGCAGCCTGCCCTCGAAAAATGTATATTATGCTACCGGGGCGTAGGTATTTACAATCAAAATCACCGTGAAGGAGATGATGTTGTATTTATTTCCTGACTGGTCTCAATAAGACTACAGCGTTACATCTTTTGTTCTTTGCAAGACGAGTGTATGGTTCTGTGTCTTTATGGGTGCTTGGTCTGAGCCCCTTTAGCAATACAATGAGGTGGATTGGGCTGTGATGGGGAGGGGGGAGGGTTGGATGGGATGGGATGTCAGTCATGGTGATCATGTTATATACCACCGGTTCGTAATCCAGCCAAAAAAGGATGGCATCTGTCGTTGGCGCAGACGTGCATAATGCTTCTGTTCTCCTGCCTGCCCTGTGAGCAGTGTATCCCGGGTGATTGTACATAGACTATTACCATATTTGCTGAACCAGAACATTCTACAATCATTGCTACATGAAGTACAGAAGTTTCTGCCTAAGGGCAGGATGATCATTAGGATGCTTCACAATTACAGTGCGTGCAGACCAAAAACTGCGAACCGAGCTATAGCCTCGGTGCGGTTATAAGCAAGTAGCTCAAGCGTGCTCACCAAAAGCTGCGACAGCTAACCGACCTCTAGCTGGTACTCCGCCCGCGGCTGGATGAAAGCTTGTCTGTTCACACCGAAAGCTGTGTGCTCAAACACATACCGAGCCAAATACTAGCTAGAAGCTTGCGGTTACTTGGGCAGTGGGTGCTACGTAATGTGTAGGCCTACATCAGTTCAGTGTTGACGAAAATGGCCAGCACTCCAGATGAAGGAAGGAAGGAAGAAAAGAAGGGAGGGAGGGAGGTGGGAATAGAGGAGGGGGAGGGAGAGAAGGAGGGTGGGGGAGGTAAGGAAGGAGGGAGGAAAGAAGGAAGGGCGAGGGGGGAATCGAGGGAGGGGAGGAAGGAGGTAGGGGGAGAATGGGGATCGAAGAAGAGAGAGGGGGGAGGGAGGAAGAGGGGGGGAGGGGGAGGAGGAACAAAGGAAGCGAGGAAAGGTGTGTTAATTGTACAAAGCCTCTCTGTGACATTCATCTTTGATGCAAGCTCTTGAAACCCTTTTCTCCTGTTCATAAAATCTTTGTCTTGTTTCCTCCGCAAAAGTTGGGCATTCTCGGAACGGTGAAATAAACTCCAGTGTTCTGTTGTCGTTCATGATGGGTGAATTTCAGTGCTTGGAAGTGGAAAGTATGATTCCCAGGACCCGGTACGCCTATTGTTAGATCTGACTTTGTCGAGAAGATCTGGGTCACAGGGCAGCTCGATTTGAGCCAGAATAAATACCCAGATATTTTCCGCCGCTCGTACCAAGCCGTATGCGAGCATACAGAGCGAGCCCATGGCCTTTGGTGTACACACTCTCTAGTAGTAAAGAGAATATTTTCTCAGCGTAGCTGTGGCGCGGCTCACGGCTTTTGGTCTGCACGCACTTTTAGGGTGTTGTTACTCAAAGCTTAGGCTACATCATGAACAACTCGTCCAAATTGTGGATTTACTACTCCTAATGTTTCTTCTCTTGGTTGTCCTTCAGATGATTTACGTTATTTTTTTGCCCTTTCTCAGTTGGATTTATTGCGGATTCTTTTCCGGGTACTTGTTTTCATATATGTTAATGGATTTTAATGGGTTTGTATCTGTTATTTCTTCTTGGGAAACAAATAGAAAGAAGGTAATTGTTGACTTTTGACACGTACTGCGTTATTGAATTATTGTCAGGTGATAGTGGTAGAGGGAGAAGGGAAGGAGGGAGGGGGCAGATATATAAAGACATTCGTCCTCTGCTGTCTTTTGAGCTTGCTCTTTGCAGCTGACTACCCGGCATGTCTACTTGGGGAGTTGGAGCCATATTTGATTTTCTAACATCGTGATCGCCTATCAAATTTTTTTTTTCTTTTTTTTTTTTTTCTTTTGCTAGGAAAATTCGCATGTTTCTTGGGATCTTTCAGATATAATCTCATTTCAGAGACTTCCCACATGTAGTGTGTTTCAGGCACTGTGACATGGAGAGAACCATGCTTTTATGCATCGTGTTTTTGGGCAGAGACTACTGTCGCAGTTTTGTATTGTTGTAATCAGTCAAAAAAATTGTTGTATTCTTTTCATTCATTTTTTTAGCGCATGTCATTTATCTTGTGTGTGTGTGTATATGTGTATGTGAGTATGCATCATCAGCATTATGTTGTAAGCTGGATATTTATGAAAAGTCAAACGAGAATTTACTTACTTTTCAATGATGTGATATTCTTAATCTCCCCCAATCTAGGCTCTTCAGATACTGATTTTGATGTGATGTGTGAGATTTTTCAAAATCAAAATACTGCGGGGGTCCATTTGAAATAAACTTCCCTGGTCTGACTTTTGCATTAGATCTGATCAAGTATGTAGATAGTTGTAGGGTGCTGCTAGTTTGTTCTGGTCGTCTTTTTGCTTTTCTTCAGCGCTGATGATCATGTAGATGTAATTTGCTTCTCTGCACAAGGACAACAGCCAGAACGAGGAATTCAATTTATCGTAAGCATCCTTTCACAATTGCCCAAATTAGTTACGGGGAGGGGGGGGGGGAGCGCGCCCCCAGATGAAGCTATTATCGGAATAAAGACTTCGAGGAGCATCTTACAGTTTAAGTTCCTTTTGGGTTTTTATTTCCTTCTAGGTGTTTAATTGAAAAACATCAGGTGACCAAGTCATGGTTCTGATCTGGGCACTCTTTTTTTTTTTTTTTTTGGTTTTCTCAAAACTTCTGAAAATGACTAGTGCATTTCAATAGACAAATGTCTGTGTGGAGAAGTTTGGCGTCGTCAGGGTGGTCACTTTTTATCCCTGTGTTGTTTCAAACCCCTGGCCTGATGTTGTGAGCCTTGGATAAAGTAGGGTAGTAAGATAATTAATGAGTCTGCTGATTAGACGTGATGTCTGTGTGTGTTTGGGCGCAAGCTTTTGAGTCCTGTAAATCCTTTTGCTCCTTGTTAGCTCACTGGTAGTTATGGCGGGCTGCAGTTTAAATGGTACTGGTTTAAGTACCTGAACGAGTGTACATGACGAGGGTTTATGTGAAAATTAATTGTGGCTCTCTGTCTTCTTTGCCTATTGGAGATGGATATTTTACCTTTAATGTGTGTTGAAAGAGATTTGTTTTGAACCTGCCTCGTACCATACTGTACTATTTCGCTATTACTATGCTATGTCATATTGTATCATACCAACCACACAATACTATCCCATACCACACACCATACTGTTCCACAATGCACCATACCATGCCACAGTTTCATATGGTACCATGTCATGCCATGCCATACCATACCATACCATACCATACCATACCATACCGTACCATACCATACCATACCATACACCATACGACACCACACATAAGTCTCAGTTGATCCTGGTGACATGTGTACAATTCCTTGCTATACCTGTAGTAATGTGAGCTTTAACGACGCTCAGTTCCAATACTTTGTCAGTTGTATATATGTCTGCGCGAGGAGAGAAGAAAATGTGACTAAAATAAGGTGTGGTGAGTTTGCAGGTGAATGTGCTGATAAAATGCCCAAATCAATAATTTCACCTTTTGTGCCTTGACAATCTGGCTGCGAATGTCTCACAGAAACGTTCACAGTATCCACAGAAATTTCGTGGAACGTTTCTTGTATTTTTAAAAGCAATGAGATTTTTTTTTTGCAATGAATTGTTACTGATATACTTTTGTACCAGTGCTATTGTTTTGATTTTCATCGCTTGACAGGAGTTTGGTTAAGGTTCTGTTGCCAGTTGCCTGTAATGATATGAATATGGGTTGTTGTTTGTTTTGTTTTTTTCGTAATCAAACTTAATATTAAGCTTGCTTCTTTGTGACTGATAAGAGGAAGGGGTGATTACAAGATTGAAATAATGGGAGATAACCAGAAATGCAATTATGCGGGATGGGAACAAAAATGGATAGTTAAAGAGGAGAGTGTACAGCTAGAGATCTCTCTCCTTGACTGTCTCTGAATCTGCAGTAAATGACTCAGTTGCCAATGGTCAGTTTGCAACTGTCAGTGTTCCCTTCACATTCCCTAAGTGTGGTACTGCTCTTGCCTTTCAGCATTAGAGACACCTTTATTTTTAAATGTGGCTGTATAGATATACACATTTGGTTTGTGAGTTCTTCCAAAAGAAAAGTAAGGCATGTCTTTTTGAGGGGATATTTAATGCATATTTTGCTTCAGTTCCTGTCGAAATTCCGAACATGAAATGTGGAGATTGTTGATTGATTTTGCTTATGTGTGTGTGCATGTGTGTGTGTGCGTGTGTGTGTGTGTGTGTGTGCGTGTGTGCATGTGTGTGCGTGTGTGTGTGCGTGTATGTGTGTGTGCATGTGTGCGTACGTGCGTGCGTGCGTGCGTGTGTGTGTGTGTGCGCGTGCGCGCGCGTGTGTGTGCATGTGTGTGTGAATGAAGCACTCTGTTATGTTAAGCGCAGGCTTTACTCCAACGGACTTGTGGAAAATTGTGTGAATAACCAAGAGTTGGGAGAATGTTTGTTTTCTTTGATGTGCGAGTTCTGTGATAGGAACATGATAATCATTGGAGATTTGTCACAATCACACGCCCCATACTGTCCTTTAAGAGAAGGTTTGGGTGCAGGTGTGGGCATGATTCTGCATGTGTTTGGAGAGTGAGTGTGCTTGTGTGTGGGTATGTCTGTGATTGTTTACTTGTTTATTGGTTGGTGTCTTGCTCGTAAATGTACTTTTTAAAATATTTTTTTTAGCAATGTTCAGTTGATTTGAGAAAACCATTTTGATACGGGCCCAGATGTTATCTGCGAGATCCATATGTGAAATGAAATGTCTCTGTTGTTGGTCTTAAATCAAAACTCTACATGTTGGTGATAGAAAATAAGTAACAATCCGTATTTCTGGTTTCCGGAAATATCAATTTGTTTAGTTTGATTTTTCTGAAGCACTGTGTGTAGATAAGAGGAGAGAACCCAAGTCATAGTTCATGGGTGGTTGGAGGGCGCTTTCTTGTTTCTTCTGATTTGTCTTGCTTTTTTTCTAAGCAGTAAATGACCTCTCTTGTGTGGATTTGTTTCTCTGTACTCAAACAAGTCATAGTTCTTGTTCAGCAAACTCTTTCTTTAACCGCATCTCAAAAGCATTCCACTCGCCATATGATTCAGTGTATGTAGCTTACTAATAATAAATTCTGAGGAATTATTTTAAGACAGAATTGTTTTATTTTTGTATGTAGTCCTCTGACGGCGCTGGAAAAAAAGAGAGAAAACTGGTACAATGATGATTATACTTGTGGTTAAATTGGTGTTTTCTTTCTTTCCTTGACATTGAGTTTTTTAGCCAAGTTCTCTCTGTTCGTGTGAGAATCATGGTTTTCCAAACTTTTGAGAATATCCACAAAATATATGTAAATTCCTGTTTTGTTGGGAGCAAGGCTAGTAAAAACCTACGTCAGGGTCAGTTTGTGACTTGAGTATTATAAGTGTGGTTTTTAAGGAGGTGGCATCAGTTGCATGTTGATCCCTGTTGTCAACAAGTACGATCGCACGCGCGCGCACGCACACACACACACACATTCTCTCTCTCTCTCCCATACTCTCTCTTTCTTTCTAACACATTCACACACACTTGCTCACTTTCTTTCACCGGCATACACTCACACGAACTGATACTCTCTCTCTCTCTCTCTC